TCTGTTTCACCGGTGTTAGAAAAATCAAATACCCTGAAAGTGGTTCTTCTAAATCTATTCTTCTCATCTCTAGAAGAAATTCACATGCAATGTCCCAGAATCCCACAATAGCAATAAAAGCCAACATTTATTGTGTGTTTCCTGAGGGCTACACATGACATACGTCATCTCAACCATACGACTCTGGGACGCCTGGGGGGCTCAGTGGTTGAGGAACTGCCTTTGGCTCAGGGCAGGATCCTGGAGTCTCAGGATCGAGTCCCACATCGGGGTCCCCGCATCGAGCCTGCTTCTCCCCCGGCCTGTGTCTCTGCCTCTCTCTCTCTCTGTGTGTGTGTCTCTCATGAGTAAATAAATAAAATCTGAAAAGAAGAAACCACACAATTCAACAAAGGAGGCAATACTTATAACCCCATTTTGCAGGTGGGAAGCTGTGTTGTGGACAAGTCATGTAACTTGTTAGTGATGTCACCCAGGCAGTGATGGGAGAGCTTGCTCTGCTCCACATAGCCTGGTGTGCAATTGCACTATTAATTCATGTCCTGTCTTGACTAATACTCAGTTTATGGGAATTACCATTAGTTCTACAATAAATCAGAAGTGAGTGTGTGAGGCAAGAGGGAAAAGAAATTGGCCACTGTGTGTGTCCGAGACCACATTGTCCCTGAAACCCCGTCATCTATTTGGGATATTTTACCGATACGTGTATCTTGAAAAAGCTCCATTGATTATTACGGAGTGAGTAAACCTCCTTGCCCCCACTTCACGGTACCCCTTCCAAATCTTCTTATCCATACACGTGTTCACACACTTTGAGAACCACGGGTTTCTCCGGCTTGGGACTTGGACACATAGCAAAAGTGTCAAAGGCTTGACAGATCTAGGTACAACTTCGTCAGGTACCTTCAGTTATAAATTGATCTGGCGTCTCTGAATAAGACCCTGATCTTGAATCTGCTTAACTCTGCCAGGGTTGAGCAGAACTGGGCAGAAAAGAGCTCTATTGGGTCTTGTGTTTAGTTTTTTGCTGACCTCAAGGTGTCCGATACAGTCTTCCACTGGGCAGTTGTAAGCTCTGGGCTTGTCAAGACCCTGGACTATACTGGTCCATTTGATCCCTCCTCTGGGTGCTGGGTTGCATTGGCCTGGTCTCTGATCTAGGTGAAATGAAGTTTTTGGGTCCTTATGAGGATCTAGGACAGATTCTTTTTAGGATATGCTGGCGTGAATTATGGATTATTCTCTTGGTTGAGACCTTGTAGGAATGCGTCTCCCTTGCCGACCTTGCTGTGCTAGGCTTTGAGCTTTGGTTAGACTCTAGCTGGACGGGACCAAGAGTGGATTGGTGATTAAATCTTGTGCTGGGATTGGGTGTGATTTAGGAAGGATTATGATGATCTGCAGGTTTACCGGAGCTGCACTGTGAACCAGATTAAACAGGATCTGTCCCCGGGCTGACATTACCTAATATATGAAATTAGCTCTTTTATTTTTATTTTTTTTTCAGGGTTCTGAATTGATCAGAGTTGGGTTACAGCTGTGTTTAATAAGCTCAATGTATGCATTTGGGTGGCTGTTAACAGGATTTCAGGATGTGTGTGGAATTGACCTAAATTGAATCAGTGGATTAAATTGATTTTCAAGTTAGTCTGGGCTGGGCTTTCGGTAGGGTTATTAATGGAATACCGGATTCAATAAAGCTTTGACTGTATCTGAGCTGAGGTTTCTGAGCTGAATAGCCTGGCCTAAGGGATGTCATCAAGGTCTTTGCTCTAGACTATGATTTTGCCCTTGGGCTTTAAAGTGATTACTAGTACCTTTGCTTTTCTTTTGACCGAAAGCCATTACCCAACCATTCAGATTCTTTAGAAACTTTGTTATTCTGAATGATAAATTCCTTCTGGGAAGGCTGCTTTGACCTTTTGCAAATGGTAGTCCTATGGAGGACAAGCATGAAGGAAATCTCCTGACAAGGAAAAGAGACTATTTTTACTGATGTTTTGCCTTAGAAGTTATGGGCTGCCACCAAAGTCCAAGGACCAGTGGGACCTATAAAAACTTGGCAAACACTGGACCTACTTGGTTGACCCAAAATTTGGTAGAGGGTGTCAGATCTGTCCATATTCTGTCCCTATTGTGGACAAAAATTTCTAAGGAAAAAAATTCCCAAGTTTTCTTGGGTGGTCTGTATTATCTGGAACAGTTTCCAGAACTTTTGTCAAGAACCCAGACAAATAGTTAGGTGCCCACTGAGACTCTTGAAGGTTAAACAGCAATGTTATCAAGACAGGAAATTTTTTCTTTGGCAGTTTGACCGGAGGGGCTCAGTCCCATATTGGAGGCGGAGAGCAAGGACAGGACAGCGAATCACTGGAGGCAGGTCATACCTAACAACCTCTGTCTCAAAGAGGGAGACCTGGAAAATTCAGTTACAACGGTTGTGCAAGACTAAACCGTTAAGATGATGAGTCTAGTAAGACCAAGTCTCCAATCTTTTAGAAGGCAGGACATTTGGAACTCCTGGTGTCCTTAAGTATTGTGGGATCCGCCTTTATCGAATGTAAAACATTCAAACATTGTCAAGTTACCCCCTTATCCCTCTCTCTTCTTGAAAAAGAAATTTCCCCTCCCTAGTAACCCAGTGCAGCCCAACATCCGCCAGCACCACCTCACTGGAATCTCCTTGGTGACACAAGCGACTCGCGTGAGATTGGTGGGGTTTTCCTGGGGCCTTCGCTCTTGACTCGCACAACACGTGACACTTTTGACCGCTTCTTCCTCCGAGGAACTTTCCCTTACCTTGGCTTCCAGGTTACCGTTCAAACCCTCCCGTGCCCTTGCAGTTTTCCAACTCCTGAAATTTTTACCCATAGCCCCAACATCACAATTTGTATCATTCTTTTCACTGACTTGAGTTTGAGAGGCAGAGGAGTTGCTTAGGTATCTCTTCGCTGTGACAGTAACCTGGGAAATGCTAGCAGGAACCCAGCGAGGACTCTCCTTCCCAGGTCCTCCTCCAGCGTCAAGTGACTGATCCTCCTCTCCCATTTCCCTAATTACAGGGCTGCTATGCCCCAACAACCGGAGGAAAATGCCGCCAGTTCAAAGAAACTCAAAAACGTCTCCTCTTGCAGACTTGCTGAGCCATCACACGGCCATTACACTAAGAGCTTCTTCTACTCCTGTTATTGACTCTGAATATCTTTGTTCTACTTCAGAGATACGGAAAAGCAAGAGCTGCACAGTTTAGAGTGTTTTCATCTCCTCCCTGTTATTTTTACTTGAGGGCGGTTATTCCCAAGGTGTAGGTGTCAATAGGTATTGTTTGAAAAGAACAGGTTCAAGGTCAGGTAAGCCTGGAAAACAGTTAAATGTTTTTTTAAAGAAATTCTCAACGCTTTGAAGTGATAGTGGGCATCTACTAGTTATCTATTATGGAATAACAAGTCTCACACACACACACGCGCACACACACACACACACACACACACACACACACCCAATTAGAATTAGCTCCTGATTTCTAGCGCTTAAGTATCTGGGCTTGGCTTAGTCGAGTGTTCCTGGCTTGAGGACTCTCACAAGGCTGTAGTCAAGATGTTGACCAGGGCTGCAGTCATCTGTCAACTTGGGGCCGGAGGGTCCACTTTCAAAGTGGGTCACTCCCGTGGCTGGCAAATTGTTGCTGCCTATCGGCAGGGCAGCTCGGCTTCTTGCCACATGGATGCCCTCCTAGAGCTGCTCGGGTGACCTTTGGACCAGGCAAAGGGCTCCCCAGGGCAAGTTATCCAAGAGAGCCAGAAGGGAGCCACACCATCTTCTGCGACCTTGCCTCAGAAGTCACGCGTCATCGTTTCTGCAATACCTCACCGACTGCCCACAGATCGGTCTTATCCACTGTGTGGGGGTGTGTTAGCACCGGGAAAGAAGGGACATTGAGGATCGTTTTTGAGGCAGGCCAGTGCAACGCTTTATGAATCCCCAAAACGTATTTGGGAACAACACTGTTGCTTGGTGAAGACACTAGGATTCCGTGGTACACCTTGGGGGTGGGGGGACTGCCACCGATGGTCACACCATGGACCAAGTGCCTTAGAGCATCACAGATGGAGGGGAAGACGTGTGGGGGGGCGGGGGGGGGGAAACAATGCTGGGAAACGGAGCCCGAAGCCTCCCTGGGGGCCGCGGGCGGGTGGAAGATCTGTGAAGCTCAGCTGAGCTCCCACCTGGATCCACTCTGCAGAGGATCCCTGCTTCAGAAGGCGCCCACTGGCCTGCCCTGCCAGTCCCTGAATGATCTGGAAGGTCCAGGCTCTTGCGAGTTGTTCGGTCCCTTTGTCCTAAGTCAAAGATACGGTGGGGGAAAACAACAACAACAACAACAACAACAAACAAAACAAAACCTCAAAAATCACAGGCTGAAAAGAGGAACCTGTCCCGGAATCTGTAAAGTCTGGAGATGGGGACCATCGGAAGGCCCGGCTGTCCCAGGCCCGGAGCAGTCTTTGCCTGGGGACCCTCCAGGCTATTCCCAGCCACAGGCCTGGCCCCCAGCGCCTGTTCTGTGCTGATAGGACAGTAAGGTCGCTGGGGGGTGGGGTGGGTGGGTCAGGTCATAATTCATCTGATTCATTTGCACGGAGGCCTGTCTGCAAAGCCCTCCGCCCCAGGTGGGCTCCCTGGAGGAGGCGGTCGCGCGTCAGAGGCTGCCGGCAGCGCCCCGGGGAGGGCGGGGAGCGAGGGGCGGCGCGGGGAGGAGACGCGGGGCAGGGAGGGGCGGGAGCGGCCACGAGGGGGCACCCTCTGAGCTTGCTTCCCTGCCCCCGCCCGCTCCCCCCAACAGGAGTCGGAAAGGGGAGGGGGCGGGGAGGGAGCGGAGGCCGAGCAGCCCGACGGAGCAGCCCGACCGCGCGGCCCGCAGCCCCCCCCCCCCCGCGGTACTTAAGCGCCGGGACAAAGGCGCGCGGGTCGGCGCCGGGAGCAGCGCGGCGGCGGCGGCGGCGGAGGCGGCGGAGGCGGCGGAGGTGGCGGAGGTGCCGGGGCCCGCGGCCTGCCCACTGTGCTTCCGGGGAGCGCGGCGGATGGCGCGTCCCTGACGGGCCCAGGTCATGGCCACGGCGCGGCGGACGGTCCTGGGCCGCGGCCTCCAGGCTCTCGGCTGGGCCGCCCTGGCGCTGCTCTGCGCCGCGCACGGGGGGCGCCGGGAGGACGCGGGCGCTGCCTGCTACGGCGGGTTCGACCTCTACTTCATCCTGGACAAGTGAGTGCGGCGCGCGGCGGCCCGGCCGGGGGATGCTGGGGGGCGGGGGGGGCGGGGGCGCTGCAGCCCGGCCCGGGGAGGATGCCGCGGGGGCTGGGGGGACTGGGGGGGCTCGGGGGACTGGGGGGGCTCGGGGGACTGGGGAGGGCTCGGGGGACTGGGGGGGCTCGGGGGCCGCTGCAGTCCCGGCCCGGGGAGGATGCCGCGGGGGGCTGAGGGGGGACTAGGGGGCTCGGGGGACTGGGGGGGCTCGGAGGACTGGGAGGGCTCGGGGGACTGGGGGGGCTCGGGGGACTGGGGGAGCTCGGGGGCCGCTGCAGCCCCGGCCCGGGGAGGATGCCGCGGGGGCTGGGGGGGACTAGGGGGCTCGGGGGACTGGGGGAGCTCGGGAGACTGGGGGAGCTCGGGGGCCGTTGCAGCCTGGGCCGGGGGAGGATGCCGCGGGGGCTGGGGGGGACTAGGGGGCTCGGGGGACTGGGGGGGCTCGGGGGACTGGGGGACCTCGGGGGACTGGGGGACTCGGGGGCCGCTGCAGCCCCGGCCCGGGGAGGATGCCGCGGGGGCTGGGGGCTCGGGGGTCGCTGCAGCCCCGGCTCGGGGATGCTGCCGCGGGGGCGATGGGGGGCCGGGGGGACTGGGGGGTCCCTGCAGCCTGGGCTCGGGGATGCTGCCGCGGGGGGCTGAGGGGCTCGGGGTGCTGGGGGGCCGGGAAGCCTCGGCGGCCGCTGCAGCCTGGGCTCGGGTATGCTGCCGCAGGGGGCCCGGGGGGGCCGAGGGTCGGGGGGACCGGGGGAGCTCAGGAGACCGGGGAGGGAGGGGCTCGGGGGTCGCTGCAGCCCCGGCTCGAGGATGCTGCCGCACGGGGGATGGGGGGGCCGGAGGTGCTGGGGGCCGGGGACCGCTGCAGCCTGGGCTGGGGGATGCTGCCGCGGGGCTTGGGGTGGCCAAGGGGGTCCAGCCTGTTGGGGGGTTTTGACCTGTAGCTCATCCTGGACAAGTAAGTGCCGCGCGCCCTGCAGCCTGGGCTGGGGATGCTGCCGCGGGGCTTGGGCCGCAGGTGCCCGGGGTGGGAGGTCCGAGGTTCCGGGGGCGCCCCCGCCGTCCGCTCGCGAGCCCGCGGGGCCGTCGGGGGGCGCGTCTCCGCCTGGCTTTGTGGGACCGGGGAGCCCGGGGGGGGGGGGGGCGTGAGGATGCCGCGGGCCCTGCCGCATCTGCTCGTGGAGACCCGGGGCGCGGGCCCGGCGCGGCTGCAGGGCGGCTGGCGACACAAAAACCCTCCCGAGCACCCGCTCCGCCTGCGCCGGGGTGCGGCCTTTGTTCCTCGGGCGCAGCGCGGGGGCACACGGGGCGCGGGCCGGGCGGGGCAGCATCCCCCCCCCCCGGGGCAATTGCGCGGGTGGGTGGGCTCCGGGGAGGACCGCGCCCCGGGACCCCCGCCCCCAGGCCTGGCGCAGCCCCTGTGGCCGCCGAAGCCCCTGCCCTCTGCTGAGCCCCGGCCCCGGGGGGACCCGCGCCCCACTGCCCTGCCGGGGCTCCCGGTGCCCCCGAGGCCGCGCTCCAGCAGGGGCGGGAGATGCATTTCACAGACTGGAAAGTATTTGCGAGCTGGAAAAAGAGTCCTGCAAAATAAGCTGGCCCGGAGACACCAAATGTGCTTTGCAGTCGCCCCTGGAGTTTGAGTTTTCCGTAAGGGCTGTTTTGAACTCCAGATTCTTTGGATGAAAAGCGAGGTCTCCTTCTTGGAGATTTATGAGAAGGTGGACACTGAAAATAAACTCCAGCACCGAAAAAATGGAATTTCTTTTGTTGCTTCTAGTGGCTGGGAGCAACAGCTCACAGATTCAGAGGCTGTGTCTGAAAAGGCAGAGGTGCCCATGGTGCTGCACCTTTCTTTTTCTTTTTTTTTTTTTTCCCCTCCCCTAAAAAGCCATTTCTGCAGGACATACAGGAAGACTTGAAAAAAAAAAAAAAGAAAAAAAGACAGAACCCCTAGGGCCCTGAATGGAGTGCTTCCATATACAGTAGAGAAAAATCAAGTTCTCCCCAAATTAATTTGAATTGAATTAAACTTTTAAATCAGAGTTCTGCAAGAATTTGTTTTGGTGGTGAGAGGAATTTAACAAAACGATTCTAAGTTTATCTTAGGGAACAAAAACCTGGTAAAAACAGTTTTAGGAAAAAATATAATGAAGACATACTGAGGCTTGCAAATATTAAAATGTACCATAAAGCAAATTATTACAAACAGGATGGGAAAGGCCAAAGAACAGATAGGCAGAATAGAACATCAAGAAGGAAATCCAGGAATATGAGAGCATTTAGTGGAAGGTCAAATCAGTGGGGAATTCATTTCTTATTTTAAAAAATGTTGGGGCGCCTGGGGTGACTCAGTTAAATGTCCAACCCATGATCTTAGTTCAAGGTCTTCATCTCGGGGCCTTCATGCTGGGCATGGAGCCTACTTAAAGAAAAAAAAAAAAGATTCTTTGACAAATGGTAACATGGGAAAAGAAAAAAGATTAGGTTTATGTCTTACACCACACACCAAAATAAATTCCAGAAGGACTGAAAATTTAAATGTTTACAATGAAAGGATGAAACAACCGGAAGAAAATTTAAATGGCTATTACTGTAATCTTAGGCTTAGAGCTTTCAAAACAGGACAGAAGCAATAAAGAAAACTATGAAGATAGTTAAACAGACTCAAATTTTCCATTTCCATAAGTGAAAAAAATGCCAGAGATAAAAGATAATGAAAAGTTAACCACAACTTTGTGACATCGATTGCTCCTTAAAGATTGGTCTTAATATAGAAAAAGCAGTTTTAAAAAGATGACCCCAGTTGAAAACAGGTATGGTACATAAATATTTCACAAAAGATACATGAAAATCAGTAAACAGGCAAAAAAATTTCAATTTCCCTAGTCAAGAAATGAAAAAATTGAACAAGATGTAATTTTTATTAAGTTGGCAAAGATTTTTTTAAAAAATTACCATGTTTGATATTGGCCAACTTGTGGGAGGAAGGCGCTTTCATATCTTACTAAGGAAAATATGAATCTGTGTAGTCTTTCTAGGCTGTCCAATGGAACTTTCTGTGATAATGGAGATGTTCTCTACCTGCCCGGGCCAGGTGTGTCTACTAGCCATAGGTAGCTATTGAGCACCTTGACCTGTGGCTACTGTGAATAAGGAAGTGAACTTGTTATATTGTTTCTTTTTAATTAATTTTAGTTGAGACAGCCACATGGGGCTACTGCATTGGATGGTGCAGACAAGAAGGTGATTTGGCAACATGTATCAAAGGCTTTTTTTTTTTTTTTTTTAAGAAAAAAAAGAAAAAAAGAGCTCTACTTTTCCATCCAAAAGGAAAAATCCAAGATGGTCTCAAACAAGTGACTCTATGTTGTTCCATGTTGACTCTATGTTTATAATAATACGGCTGAAAGTTACCTAAATATCTAACAATTTATTAAGTGAGGCGTGATACGGCGTAGTATTGACATGCTTGCTGTGCATGCTCGTCATGTACCCTTGGGCGAAAATAGTCACCGATGTTACGTGCATTACGATTCTACTTTTGTAAAAAAGCTAAGGACGCACGTGTATTTCTGGATTTACCGAACAGGCAATTGTATTTCTGTCTAGAAGATAAGATTTTTAATTTCTTTTTTGGGGTGTTTTTCTGAACTTTCAAATTTTCTATGATGAGCATATGCTACTTTTTATATTCAACGAAAATAAGTCACTTTGAGCTTTTAAAAAAAGTTGTTTCAAGTGTAAGGAGGTTGTCTAACCAGCGTGCTGGGCTCCCAGCATACGATTGTAGAGGCTGCTGCTTCTTCACTATCTAATCCCAGAATAAATTTCCAAATGCATCATAGGATACGGTGCAGGACATTAGGGGGACCCCGAAATGCTCCAGGAAGGAGAGAATGCGGCCCTTGTGCAGGCTCCTACCTGTAGGCTTAGATGCGCTCCTCTGGCGGCTTTCGGTTGTCCTGTGGCTGAGGAAGGAGAGTGTTCGCTGGATGAAACAATTGCTGGTACTCGATGGGGTGCGTGCTCCTAGCTTGCGATCTCGGCCCCCGGCTGATTTATGGGATTGTCCAACTCAGAGCCCGGGATGGGCTACAACGCAGCAATTGCCTAGAGGCCCCGGGGGGTCCCTGAAGACACGGTGACCCTAGCAAGAACCTTCTCCGAGGGTGCTGCCCAGCACCCAGGCTCAGCGAGTAGAGGGGGAAGGAGCGCGGACTCACCTCAGGCATCCGAGATACTTTGCCCTGCCCGGCGGGACAAGCTGCAGGCTGAAGCCCCTGTACAGGGGACCTTTCTGTCCCGGCCCTCAACTCCTCTTTCCCGGTGATGGCTCTCTTCTTTTCCATGACATTAGAACTCAGCTCATTCCAGGTGTTAGCCGGATGCATGTGGCCCGGAGAGGACCCACATTATACATCTGATGGCCCGTCGCGTCCTCTGAGCGGGGCGCAGGGCCTGGTGGTGACCCCCGACTTCCGCAGTACCCGCCGGGCCGCACTAGCCACCGGGCTGTTTCGACCGACGGAATTCCGTGTTCACCTAAACATGCTTCTCCGGTTGCGGCCAGGAAAGGCAGACGCTGGGATTCAGTCGGGGATCGGGGTCGCGTTCCCAAGGCGCTCGCAGCAGGGAAGTGTCCAGGCGCGCTGGCTTCTCGCTGGCTTCTCCGGGAGGAAGGATGAAGGCCTCCCGTCGGTGGCGCTCCCGTCCTCTCTCCCAGGGTCCTCCCCACGACACCCTTACGGATCCTGTTGGTCTGTTTTATAAGAACGATTGGTTACGGGAGTGGGAGAAGCGGACTCTCCGTCGCAGGCCTCGGGAAGGGCTGGCTGCGGCCGTGCGGGCCCCGGACTTCAGACGGAGGTCACTGTCGGTGGCAGTGGGGGGGGGCAGTAAGCACTGCAGAGCCCCCTCGGTAGGACCTTCCAGTGCCACAGCCTGTGACCCAGATCTACCCT